GGGGGGGGGGGGGGGGGGGGGGTGGAATATTTCACGGCGACGATAGGATCCGACGATACGAAGGTCTCCGCTTGACTTGGCTTTTGATAGGACCACGCGTTGTTGCGTCAGTCAAAGTCGTACGGGGTTTCAAAACAACAGCTTAGGTTACAAGGTGCGGGGCTGGCTTACATCACGGCTCGGTAGTAAAGGTGTTCGTCCTGTCGTACATGCATAAGTGTGAGGTTAGGTTTTAAGTCTTCTTGTTTAGTTTGTGGACCTTTTTTTTTTGTGTGTTTTGTTGTTGTTCCCGCTTCGACGAAAAGCGAAACCAAACGGCCGCAAAAGTCATGGGCGTTTCTTGGCGCGTCTGTGCCGTGTGTTTTGATTCTTGCCCTGGCTGTGAGATCGATCTCGTCAGCCCTTCGGCGGGAGGTCGGTTGTGCCCGCCAAGATTGTGACTCGTCTGTCCACGTTCTCGAGTGCGGCAGCTTGCCGCCCGCTGTTTTCGTGAGATGCACGCCCGCCGTATGCCTCGCTCTCTGTATGGAGGCTGCTCGCCAGTTGTTGGGACGGGCGCGGGGGGACTGGATTTTTTTTTTTTTTCTCCCGTCTTTTGCGTTGAACAGTGGTATGGTAGTTTTTCGTGCAAGGAAACAGGCAGACAGACAACGACCCCTTCGAATCGATTTATCTTCCATCCCACTCCCCGTCCGTGTACGGTAGATATCACCGACCGTCGCGCGCCCGCGGCACTTTCGTTCTTGTAGGCAAACTTCAAATTGTATGCAACCTGGGCGCCTCTATCTTGATTCTTTCTTGGATTTTTTTTCTGGGCCAAGAGAAGCGAGGTTCCGGCCAGCAAGCTTAGCTAGCGAGGGGGAGTCAGGGAGCAGGGAAAGAGAGGCGTCACTGTGCGCGTCGGTTGGACGCGGTGGCGCGTTGTTGTTGTTCTGTTTGTTGTGTCGCTGGTGCCTTTTTGCGTGACCCTCAAGGACTCGTAGCACTATTATGGTCTTGTTTTATTGTCTTGATTGATACACGTAACAGGTGTGGGTGGTGCACTCGTAATGCAATGGTAGCAACAGCGTCTATCTATCTATTTATAGTAGCTCTCGTCGTCTCTGTGTTTAAATGTTTACGTTATGAAGGTTGAGTTGGAGGTCGATCGCGATGATGGCGTCACCCTGTGGTGTACAGCAAGCCAGGTTCACCAGAACGGGCTGCATTAGAATTTTTGATTTATCCAGTGGGTTTCATCTCGTCTTACCTGTAGTGATCTGCCGGGGGCCCCGCAGCCCGGGGGTGGGGGCCTCGCAGCCTGGGGGTGGGTGGGAAAAGATCCGGCAAAGAATGAGATTGCTTGGTTGCTTTCTGCCCGCCCACCCGCCCGCACCCCCCCCTCCCCCCCTTCGCCCTCGACTCTGTCGTGTCGAGCGGATGCGTCGCGTGGAAGGGATAATCCCACGAAATCGATGTCGGTGGCGAAGCGGGGTTTGGTGGTTCCCTTATACTGGCATCAGGGGTACATGTCGACGTGTTTTGTTGGGACATCGGGTGGGTGTGCACAAGGTATGACGGTGGTGGGTTGGATGTGTGCGAGGGTGTTGTTTGTTAGCTGTCGTAGTTGAAAGGGGGAGAGAGAGGGGGGCTGGTTCGCATGGTTGCCTATGTTTTCTTCTTGGTTCTCTCGTATGCATGGTATGGTTACAGCTTTGCTTGCTCCTTTTTTTTTTTTTTGCCCCGCCTCCCTACTAACCTTCGGCGAGAGGGGGGTGGGTGCACTTTCGTTTTCGCGCTTGTGATGGTGGTGGTGTCGTGTGGTATGCTTTTGTGTTCGCGTCTTTGAGTGCCTTCTGCCTGCAGAGGGTCGCGCAAACATGATGCGGCACGTGTTCATGTGATGATAACGGTGACTTCGCAAGATGTAAAGCTCGGTTTGTTTTGGATGTCACTTGATTGTCATACATCGGAGGTACGCGTAAGTTGGACGCTCCTTTGTCGGAGGAAGTGAGGTAGCCTTTTGGCCGTGTCCTCTAAAAAATCTAGCTCGGGCGGGGCAGATTTTTCGGCTGTTTCTTATCGCTGACGGAGCGGGCGAGCGTGAAGGTGTCCGGCGTTACGCACGAATGAATGTTGATACGGTGACTTTGTCCCTTGTACCCTTCGGAAAAATCCGATTCCGTCTCTGACTTGTATTTGCATGTATTGCGTCTTTTTCGTTTCTTCTTTGTTTGGTTTGAATAAAAATATGACGGACGATTTTTTCGCGTTGATGAACGGTACGTAGTTCCGCGGTCAGCGCGTTTTTAATGAAGTATGTATTCGTTTTTCATGTATGTATAAATCTGAAATTCGTGACCCGAAGCTGTGGGGGGAGGGAACACGGGTTGCGTGTCCCGCTCACGTACTTGTTCCCTTTTGATAACAAAAACGCGGCAGAAGCATCGTGCACATAACGCAGCATTTGCCACAACCCCCCGGATCGATGCAGTCTTCAACGTAATCGCGGCAAGAGGGACATGAGAGAGTCCACGGTGTTACGGAAACAACATACCAATGTAAACTCTGTATAACGCACATATGCATACACCCCATTGTGAATCGTTGGTTGTTTCGATCTAGATATATATCTCGCGTAGCACAGACAGCCAAAGCTCTGAACTGCAACGACCAGACACGCTCCTCACCCCCGACATAGATGCAGAGACAGACGGGATATTGTTCGAGAGGCGGCATGTTTCCTTGTGGGCTTTCGCCGAGTACCCGTCTGTGTATTAGTACTTGTATGCATACCATATATTGCATCTGTTTCATTATTTATATAATAGTACTCGGATCGTATGCATACTCTTGTACCCGAGAGTGCACGGCGTCCCCGCAGTTGCGACCTTGTTTGACCCAAAAACCCATGCGGAAAAGCCACAACGCGGGCGCTATTTTCCCCCTTTTCATGTCCCGAAAAATCCTCGCCCTAAGGCTTTCTCAGCCTACAAAAAAGGTGCCAGTACTGGTCAGGCTCACTCAGCTTCGTGGGTCCGCCTTCCCGTGTGCATAGCTAGATAGCTCCTGCATCAGCGACAGGCTTGCTGTCGAAGCACTCTTCTCTCTCTAGGGAAACTCGATCTACTACTCCTAGTCCTGCTTCTATAGGGAGCAAGCAGCCGCTGACTGCTTTCTTTGAACCAAGCACCACGAGGCACCGGAGCCCAAAACGAATCACGGAAACGTTATCACGGCACTATTGCCAACACAGCAACAAAATTCTTGTGAAATCTCAAGTCCACGCACATCAACCACCAAAACAGGCAACAAACACATAATAATACGGTGACTCGCTAGTTATCGAGGATGGATATCTTCGGGGTATGGGGGAGGGGCGAGCAAACGTCTACCTACGAGATGAGAGGAGGGGAGGCGACTGAAAGCACTGTTTTTTCGCCTGTCCATCATGTCAGTCATGCCTTTCCGGCCGCCATGTCCACATGCGGCAAATCTACGGGGGCCTTGGGGCAAGAGTAGACGAGGTGGTAGAGCCGTCGCATGAGATTCTCGTCGACGTAGTGGAAGCTGAGAGAGTAGCGCGAGCAGCACTCGCGGCCAATCTTGAGGTCGATCGAGTAGTCCACGTACCAGTCTTTCTCTGGGTTAGTCTTCGGGACGCGGTACCTGCCAGAGTGAACCAGGGGCGCGATCATCAAGCACGAAACACGTCCGACTAGAATATCCCCTATCCCTTAACGGCGTCGGCCCCTCTCGCTGACAAGTGTATTTCGTGTTTCATCTATGCCATGCATGACGCGGCTCGATTCTAACGTGACGCTGCACTCGCTGCTGGCGTATACATAGTTGCAGCGCGAGAAACCAAAAGCATCCTAACAGGTACCTAACAGACCGTGCCTCAGAATCATATTCACCGCCGCCACAATCGGCGTGGGGACCAACCATACAACAAGAAGCAGTGAACCCCAGCCGACAACTTAGCAGCATCTTGGGCGGTTCTGATCTCAAGCTCGACCACTTGCACAAGCCAACACGAGTGAGATCCCACCACAATAAGGAAGGTGCATCCCAGTTCCAACCTAGGTGTGGTGAGCCTACTTAGTCTCAAGTGTCCTACATGGCAATCGAGCACTCACATCAAGTGCTGCCCGGGCGTGAAGGGGTGGAAACGCTCACGTCCGAGTCCATCCCGAGTGTCGTGGGCCACCACGCCGTGCTGTCGCAAGCAGGCAGCAACCTGAACACGCGTCATGTGCCGATGCGTCCCGGGCGAGTCAGTGACCCATCACGGAGTTCATCGTCGCGAGAGGAACAGCGACGAAACGGGGCATTTTCATCGAGTTCGTGCTTCGATAGGCGGGCGAATCTATTTGCGGCTGGACATCTGACGGCTCGACGAAGCAACGCACGTGCTTCGGCAGTTGCAGAAACTAGAAGGAAGGGTGCGCGTCAACGAGAGTCGCTTCTCGATATTTGTTGCGATAATCAGCAGCTTTCGACGGCCTTCGATGCCCCCCTAGTAGCCTCTGCCAGCAGCCTCGAGGGGCGGCAGAGAAACCTTCTTGACTCACAAGCCCCCTATTTGGCCAGCAAGTGTGTGAGTGTGAACATAGATCGTATCAGCTTCTGACCAGGAGGAGACGGCCGTAACCGAACCAGCCATATGTACTCCCCAAACCCAAAAAACAATTAATTAAATCAAACACCCCCATATAATATATTTAATAAGGTAGGAAAACTCAGAGGCAACGCTTGACACTTAAAAAGCATTATAATACCGACATTGTTGGCACACCCAACAGAGTCGGTAACCTCTTCTTCATGAGTGTTTCTTCATCGCCACACTGTTCACAAGTAATATTTTGCTTGCGAACCCCCCCCCCCCCCCCCGGCAGTCGGAACTGGGGGAACCCCCCCCCCCTCCGAAGAGAAAAAAAAAACAACTTTTCGCGGGGCTTCCCATTCTTGGGGGGGAGGGACTGCCGTTGGCCCCCCGAGAAAACGAAAGCGACCCCCCCCCCCCCCCCCTATCGAAACCAAGGGCAATCTCCCCCCCCCTCCCATTCCCCCCCCCCCCAAAACAATGGTGGGGCGGGGGACAAAAGGGGGCCCCCAGGGGGCTCTCCCGGGGCCCCCCGGACTTTTGGTTTACAAGGGAGGGCCCCCCCCCGGGGATGAAAAACCGGGCGGTG